GTACCTAATAACATTCACGTTATCATCTGTAATCTGTTGAGGTGCCTGCATTCAGGTTTGTGAGCCCGGTGGTCGTTGAACGCCTTTGCAGACCCATAGACAAGGGGAAGGTACAGTGAGCCTCTCAACGGTGCATCTTCAGGATCAGGCATCTTGAGAATATTCCTACGTAGGCCTTCCTTGTAGGACTGCCTTCTTAGCAAACATCTTGCAGTGAAAGACTTAATAGCTCTGAATCACAGGATTTTCGGTGCAGACACCGAGTTCCATTTGGAAAAAGCTGCTCTTGGTCTGTTGCCAGAGCTATTTGTGTCACTTTTCTTTTAAACCTTCTGGGATCTTCTGCACCTTTGAGAAGGTGATCGTCAGGGTCATTGCAATGTTTCCAGGAAAAAAAAAAGAATATTATGCTGGAGAGCTTTTCAGTCTGGTCATGAGAAGGCAGACCTGGCTGTGGATGAATGAGCAGTCTTTGAAGCAGATAATAAAGTGCTGGGCTATGTGAATTTGAGCACATCCAAAATTAAAGGAAGATTAAGGCATGGTGCATATGGCTCCTGTTGCAACCTTGACCTCCTAAATTTGAGGGAAAACAAGCATTTATAAGGCTGCGTTATTTTACACAGATTTTAATTTTAGGAACTGCATTACGGTGGAACTTAGTCTTACAGTTTCCTTTTGGGGGTGGGGGACATGGAACTGAAGGTGTTTTTTGGGAAGGCTGCTGGGTGCCTCGGCAGTCTCATCACAGGTAGCCTTCCCAGGGGGAACTGGTAAGCCTGAAGATCCTTCCTGAGGTAAGCCTTCTTTCCTCCCTCGTCCCACAGCTGAGCGTGTAAGCGCGTTCACGCTTCTGGCTTGTGTCAACAAGGACTGACAACCATCAGGTAATGGTTACAGGCTGAGGTTGGGCTCTGGGCCTGGTTCTAATCTTACATCTCTGTTGACATTACTTGATTGCTCTTGCTTTGAATAAGAAACATTGGGAGCTTGCCTGTGTTTCTTCTCTCAATGTGAGAAGAAACAAAGAAAAATTTCTTCTTCAGTGGGAGCGGAATTAAAAACTTGGTTTCTGACATAGCATTTCTCATTTCCTCCATACCGACCATTTTATATGGCTTTTTGGGAATTCTTTTCAGTATGCAAAGGTAAATAATTCTTCAGGGGCTGTTTGTATTCACACTGACATGAGATCTGTTCACCGCCAGCGCAGGGAGCAATTTCCAGCTGGCTTCCAGGATGGCCAGGAGGTATTTGGTGAGAGGTTAGGAAGGAAGGAGCATCTCATCAGCCCTCTGCTCCTTCTCCTCTCTACTATGCCGCTATCACTTCTGCATGTTTTGTTCCTGGTATCCCACGAAAACATTTGCCAGGCCTTTATGCAAGGGCTTCCCGGAAGTTTTTTCTGATGTCTGAGGAGCAGCAGATGGAAGGCTTCCTTCCCAGGCCTTACTGCTTCTGAATCGACAATGCTCTGGGTACGCCGTGTTTATCACAGGGCACAGAGCTGCTAAGGATTGCAGGCAGGGAGGTTAGAGGCAGTGGTAAAATGATTTAAAGTTGATAGCCAGTTGCCAAAATCCTGTGAGTTTTGCTTAGTGCCAGAGCCTGGTAGCTTGCCTCCGTGGTGTGCTGGGGAGTTCCCTCTGCTTGGTATCTGACTGGGGGGCCTCCTGCTGTAGGCAGGGTGTACCTGGGAGGATTTAAGTGTCTGCTTTTGGAAATCATTGAAATACACAGCAACTTCGTAAACTTGTCGGGAGGAGAATCTTGGCAGCAGGAAGGATTTGTTGCATCTCGGGCAAATTTGGTGGGGTGTGAAGGAAACCTGAACCTTCATACTCAAAGCTAGAAAAATCTCATCTCTGCTTCTTTACTTATTAAATACTCTTACCTGTAGTGTTTCGCTTTCATATTCAACCTGTTGGTGTGTTGTGTGCCTAGGGCTTGAATTTCGGGCAGGACAAAGGCAAACAAAGTTGCCTCCCATTACAAGAATTTTGAAAAACATTTAAGTCATGTGGTTTTATAGCTCCTGTGATGGGCGAAGAAGGTTCATGTGTTGGAGTGTCATTTAGCAGAATAGGAAACTGGTTTTGGGGCTTGTGCTCAGGCAGTTCTGGCAGAGCAGGAAGGGAACCTGTATGTAATGATATAATTTCACAGCACAGCTGAGACAACCTGACGGCTAGAAATCATCGGAAGGGGGGAGGCTCTTCCCCTGCCTTTAGCTTTCCAGCTCTCCTCCTGCTCTCCTATCCTCTGGCATTAGCTCTGCTGCTTATCTTGTGAGGAAAGCAGATTAAAATTGCTGACGCAGCAGAAATGCTTCCCTCCTGGTGCAGTTTTCCACAGTTTTAGCGATAGGGCTGGGTCGTGCTGTGGGCAGAGGGGCTGCCCTTGCTCACACAGCCCTGGGGGCAGAAGGCTGATCAGCGGGGTGGGCGGCGAGTTTCCGAGCTGCCGGCTGTCGGGTTGCTTCAAACTGTACTGTGAAAAATCAGGGACTCAATTTCAGTGTATACTGTGCTAAATCTCAAATTAACATAACTTTAATAGCGATTTATTCTAAAAACGGTGCACTCTGTTTTTTCCCATTAAATAGCCTGACTTTGATAAGAAGGAAGCATGAAATAAGTGCCAGACAGGACTTAACAGCTATTGGAGAAGGGACTGGAAATCCCTACCTAAAGGAAGTGTTCCTGATCCGAATTTGTGATTTTTTGCCTCTTTCTGATTCTCCATCGAGCTGACAGCAGCAGTGCGGGTGCTGGACGTCGTTAAACTTCAGCAGGCCACGATCCGTGAAACAAAGCAGTGCACTGTGTCTGCTCGGGCCCTTAGCGAGCAGGGGCTGGAGCTTCACCGCAATCTGCGAGCCCCTAATAAATCCATGGCTGTGTGGCAGCGTTAAGTCACCTTACCTGAGAAGCGTGTGCGTTCATCTGAGCGCTTCTAGCCCAGCTTAATACCTAACTAAGTTGGCAGACACGGCCGGCACTGACACGTGGTGCTGCGAGGCTTGCTGACTCACTGCACCAGGACGGGCCAGGAGCTTTTGCATCCGCTGAGCCGGTGCTTCATGGCGTAAAATGTCCCTTTCAGGTGGGGTTGGCTGTTCCTTGGGTAATGTGAGCGCTATGGAGGGGATACTTGCCTCAGATGACCTTGTCAGCTGGGTTCTCAAGGAAGCAGTTGCTTTTGTACAGCATCTTGTGTGGTTCTTTTGGCCAACCGAGCACATTGCGGCTCTATTAAGTCAATACAAAGCTCATCTTTGAGCCTGTGGTGATGAATTTCTCTGCAGTAGCGCTGTGAGTTTTGGTGAGCGGCAGATTTTGTGTTGAACTTGGAAGATTTGCGCTAATTCTTCAGGAGGGAGCTACAGTCGTGAGGCTGCTGCCGAGTTCCTGGTGCTGAGATTTGTCATCGGGCTGGCTGCTCACTGTTTCTTTTGGACATTAACGAACTGCTATGCTTAACGCTTGGATCTCTTGGTGTAGCATTCATTTCCTTACATTCTGGAAACACTGTGGTATAAATCTGAATTTACAGAGGTGGAAAACGGAGTATAGCGAGCAGAGGCTATTAGCCAAGCAAGTGCTGCTAATTTGGCGTTGGTATTTTGCTAATGGTGCTCCTGTAGCGAGCACTTGGACTAAATGCCTTTATTGTAAAATCCATATCGCCCTTATTAGCGGAGTCTGGACTGGAAGCACGTTCATACTTCAGCATTATGGCAACTGTTTGGTGTGTGTTGACGTCTGTATGCTGCTGCTGGGTTTAGGTGTTTGGATTCTGTGGCAGAACGCACAAATGGGGCTGCCGTGACAGAGGAGCGCTGAGCCGAGCATCAGGAGGCCCTGAATTCACCACGGGTTTTGAGCAGTGCTATAATTCCACGTGCTTCACAGCTGTCTGTTCTTAAGAGCTGTTAACCAAAACTACGTTGTTTTGGAGCAAGAATTGTGCAGCGCTCTCAGGCAGAGGGGATGGAAAAATGGCTGAGAACCCGAGTCTAGAACCGTCGGGCGACCAAGCTTCCTGGTGCCAGTGGCTTCCAGCACGAACGTGCCTGTCCGGGCTTCCCAAATCTGCCAGGCATCACCTTTTTTCTGCTCCAGGAATAGGGCTTAAGTATCCTGATTTTGAATATTTCAAAGCAGCTGCAAAAGCACTTTTAAACGTCTAGTATTTTGGCAGGCCGTGAAGAACGAGCAGCTGGGCTCTGTTGGGAGTTGGAGCTGTAGATGTTCTGTGGATCCGAAACTTCAGCCTCCAGCCCCTGCTAATGGCTGAGTAAGGCAGGGGCTGTCTTCATGGGATGGAATGTCAGGGTGTTTTTCAAGGCTTTCTTTAAAAAGGTGCAAAAATAGAAACTATGAAATACACAGCATGCACTGGAGTTAATGTTCTGGTACAGATGAGTCTGTTTCATGTGTGCAATTAAGTGCTCACCAAAAGACAGCCATTTAATAATAACAGTGTCTTAAAATGCGTGTAAAGGAGAAAACATCTAGAAGATAAACGGCTGCTGGCTGAAATGCTGAACTGCATCTAGTGGGTCTGGCTGCTGCTCGTCTCCGTGTAAGAGTTTTGGGCAGAAAGCTGGAATTAAGGTTGGCGGTTTTAATTCTGTCAAGTCAAGTGCTCTGAAATGGGGAACCTGATTTTGAACTGTTTTGAGTGCTTTGCTGTTTGCAGGAATGTGTACAAAATCTGTCACAGTGCTTTCTGTCGACGTTTAAAAAAAAAAAAAAAGACTTGAGCTCTTTAATGGTACGTGGCTTTCTAAAATGCCATGCTTGCTAGCTTGAAAGAATGAATTGTTCTGGGGTTTTCAACAGAAAATGTTTTGTTTTACAAGTGGAAAAAATATGTACGGTTGAAACAGTTGCTTGTTGTCAGTTTTCTAAAACATTCAAGCTTACTTCAGGTGGAGAAAGTTTGGCTTATTCAAACAAAGTTCTGGAACTTATTTGTGATTTTTCTCTTTGCAGATATATTATAAAATGTCTAATGGTTATGAAGATCACATGGCTGAAGATTGCAGGGATGATATTGGTAGAACAAATTTAATTGTGAACTACCTCCCTCAGAACATGACGCAAGATGAGTTGCGGAGTCTATTTAGCAGTATTGGCGAAGTCGAATCTGCAAAACTTATTCGGGACAAAGTTGCAGGTATAATATAAAAATAATGTGTTTTTTTACTTTGTGGTAAAGTGCTCAACCAAATGCCTGAAAGCAATTTAATGTAGAGTATCTAATTTTTGCAAGCGTGTGTAACTACTGATGTGAAGACATACAACTAGAGTGATGTTATGCATAACACTCACTATCTAGTCTTATTTAGGATACTTCAGGCTAAATCCATAGGTTTTTGTAAAAGGTTAAAGGTTACAATAAAATTCCTACGTTTCAGCATCAGTCTGCATATCTGCAGGCTGAACTTGGTCCCTAACTTACTCGCTTTTCCTACAGTCTGAGCTTTTTTGGCACTAATTTACTTCCTTGCATATCAGAAAAAAATATGCAATTAAATTGATTCTATTTTGATCAGTAAAAAGATGTGTGGTATGCGTCTGAAATTGTTGTAGGCCTTATCATTCTTCAGGAGTTTAACTCTTAAGTTCTTTAAATAGGATTGTTAGTAGTAGCTTTAGAAAAAAACAAGGAATGAAATATTTAGTTTGTGAAATATGTTTACTTAGAAACAGACAAGTGCTGGCAGAGCAGCTGGTTTCATAAGCTGGATCTGTTTACTTGCAGGAGTTTTTTATCTGCTCTGTCAGGATGTTTTAATCCTTGTCCTGTTCAAATCTGTGTTTACAAATTCTGGTTATTCTCGCTCAGAATTCACGGAATTTTTGATTTAGTAGGAGATAACAATCATTATTGCTGTAAATAAAAGTATTTGTGCTGCTTGCTAGTTGTGCATGCTTGTTTTTTCTTGGCACGCAGATGACTGCCTTTTGGAATTTTCTGCTGCATGTGCTCAATCTTGTATTTCAGATTCTAACAGTACTGATTTAAATCGTTATTTAACTCATGCCAAACAAGCCTGAAGCTACTTCACCATAAAAACTGCAAGAAAGCTGATAAAATGCGTGAAAATTCATTGTGTTATTCTAACTGACATTATATGTTTCATAGTAGAAATGAGAACTGAATAACGAAAACCTTAGAATGTACTTTCAGCATGGCTTCTCCAGTGTCTGTCTTCTCACCTGAAAGAAATCTCAAGACCTAGCTTCATGTGATAGTGCCCTACCAAAATCTGTACTTATGGACTGTATGAGTAAATTTGTCATGAAATAGTTCCACAAAATAGTGTTTTCTTTGAATACTGAGCTATCCAAGTACTTAGCCTAGATGTTGTCATACAGTTTGCAATGCTTAGATGTAGAGGTTTGCTTTGGAGGCTACTTCTGCAAGGAAATAAGACCATTTGTTTTACTGATAGCAAGTTATTCACTAAATGACATAGGTAATCCACACCACACCGTAGGCTTTTAAATAAGTGCAAAATCTTCTGTATGGGTTGTGAGGATATTTTAAATGGGAAACAAAGCACGTTAACTGAAGTCTCAAGAGTTTATTTAAGACTGTTCCCTGGAGTATCATATACTCTGGTAAAGTCTTATTAACTTTAAATTACCCATAAATTACCATATTCCAAGTTAAAGACCAACATAGGTGCTCCTGTGCTTCAGGTTTTTCTTAACAACCCTCAAAGAATCAAAAGTAAAAGTCTTCTTAGTTTGTATGCAGTCCTTGAGGGCCTGCATACAAAACCTTCACTCTTTAAAGTGATTGAAAATGTTTAAGTCTGCATGGCTTATGTTAGTTAGGCCACTTCTTTTGTTGCCTCCCTAATTTTTCATTCACGTGCAACGCTGTTAGCCACAATTCCAAGTCATCTTCATGCTTGTTGATTGTTTTAGAATACCAGTGACTAAGAATCAGCTTCTTCAGGAACCTTCTAAAGATACCACTTCAGTTTTTTTTTTCCCCTTCATGTTTGCCTTACAATCTGTATATATGTGTTGTAAAACTCTACCAATCAGCTCCTGAAAAGAGCAGTCTTGCAGCAGAATTCTGCTTTCCTCATGCCAACAATTGCATTTGTATGGACCCCACTGAGACTCATGGTAGACAAGCAGGAAATCAGAACTGCAGAAAAATCTGTTTAGCTCCATGGCTCTGTTTTCTCTGAGGGTAGATAAATTGTAATATTGGCACATAAGAGGCAGTGGAGCTGTGTGAGCAAGACAGGAGGGAGGTAACCTCTCTTTTCATGGCAAAGTTTTAAATCAGTTTAGTTGCTTTATTAACTGTATTTGTAGAATTAAAATCAATGTTTGATAACACTTCTTTTTTCATGCATGAGGTTGTCTTTATAAAATTAAGAGTAACTCTTTGAAATTGCTACAATTTTTATCCTTTACTTTGCTGTTGATAAACACCAAAGGAATTGAAAGTAGCAGTAAATTTACTAAAATAGTAAATGTAGTAAATTTACTACAGTAAATTGTAGTGTCAATTTACATCCCTTACTCTGAATTTCCTGCACTGTGTACACGTGGCTTATAGGAGTTGGCAAAAGTATGACTATACGCTTGCTTTGTTGTTCAAGCCATAACTTCTTATTTTATTTCTGCAGTGGCAGTAAGATGTTTGTGCACAGTAGATGAATGTTAGACAGGGTGCAAGGCTCTCGTTGCAGTTTCAGCTCTTCCTGATCATGCTGGTGAGTTAAGGTGCTGGTGTCTACGTCCTCCAGTTTGTGTGCTGAGTTCCTCAGCATTTCCAGACATGGCTTTGCTTAAGTTATGAAGAGCCAGTCAGTAATCAGCATCTCTACTCTCAGGTGCAACAAGCAAATCTCGGACTGTAGCTCTGTTGCTCACTGTACTTGTATTTATTGTGATCGTCCAGCATTTTCATACAAAGAAGTCTGTAGAACTCTTGTTGGATATTGTTTTTTGTCAGGTTTCAAGACGAGCACCAGATCAGATCCCCAGGGAGACATTAGAAGGTCACTTCTCAACATGGTATTGCACAGTGTCAAGTCTGAGATTTTACTTTTCATCTTTGTTGTGTCTCCTGGCCTTTTTTATTTATTGCTGAGGCTTGTGAGTAGCCATTGGCTCCGTTCAGCTGAAGACCACCCTGTGTGTGGTTCTGGCTCATGAGGCCGCGAGCAAGGAAAAGTGCTGGGGTTTGTCTGATCTTTCTGCACTGACGAGGCTGTAGCCCTCTAGCATTGACTTCAGACATCCTGGTCCCAAACTTGTGCTCGTACTGATCTCCTGCCTAGCAATGTGCAGATCCCTGTGGGATCTGTTTAGTGCTTGTGGCACTCGTGACCCTCCTCTGAGTATCTGGTGACAATTTTGCTGTGTGCACCTCTGTCAGCTCTGTCTGATGGCAGTGGATCTGGTTAGGAGAGGGAGGCATCCAGGGTCTTGAGGCTTCTTATTCCATCCCTCACATCTCTTAAACTGCTTGAGGAGGAAATAAGATTCCTACTGGAGGAAATACACGACGTGATCCTTAAGAGTGTGCCAGAAACTCCATACCAATCAGCTACCAAAATGCAGCCACCTCTGTGCAGACACTGGAAGGAAACAGTGGGCTTCCTCGTGGCAATCCGTTTGCTTCTGCAAGTCTGAGGTCTGATGGAGCTCACTGATGTTGACCTCGATCAGCAGCAATAAAGGATGAAGGCAGCACTCCATCACTGCTGAAAAATGTGGAGTAGATGGGATGTTTTGTGATGACTTGTCATGATTGTGTACAGCAATCTGGAGTCCCTCTCAAAGAATACTGTCATCATAGCTCACTCGTACTGCAGGTGTACGTGACCTGTTGCTTATAGGATCAAAACAATCACTTGATAGCTGGAATTATAGGAACTGATGTGCATGCATCTTTTCACTGCCTTTTCCCTTTCATAAGATCTTATCTGGAAGACCCTTTCATAGAAAATACGCAACCTAAACCAGAAATAAATGGTGCCCCTAAGCTTTTAAAGCATAAAGGGGAGGAGGGCTTAATTCAACAGCCTTCAGATGCTGAAAGGCGGTAAGTAGCTCCAGCTCACGTGGTGGGGAGATTGCTCATTTTGCTAGTGCAGCGGCTTCCAGTCTACTAACAGAACTCTTAATTATTCTTGTCTTGTGGAAAGTGTTCAAGTATTCTCTTTGGCTGAAATTGTTCTCTTTTGCATGGAAAACAACTACGGTATTGTGTAGTTTTTGCTGTTAACTGTGGAATTGAAATGCATCATTATCCTGGATTTTTTTTTTCTAGCTTTTTAATCACATTTACTGGTATGCAATTTCTTTAAGTGCACATTCCAGAACACCTAGCAACAGCGGTTAACTTAATGAGAAGTGCAAACAGTTTGCAGATAAATAGGCCAAATACTTAAGAAGTTAACACCCTTCTAGTTTTGCCAGCTTCACTTGGTTTCCTTTATCATCAGGTCGGCCGTGTAAACTACCTCGGAGGTAATAACTGAGTTCTAGCAAGGGTATGGGGATATCCCGAATACAAACATTGCCTGACTTCAAGTGTGTTCAGAGCACAGCAGAAGCAGCAGCGGGTGCAGCAGTTTCTGGGCTCTGCTTCTCAATGTTCGGGGAACTTTGTGGGTTGTCAGAGGACTGGTGGGAACCCTTTGAGGAACTTGAACGTATGAAGCTGCCAGGGAAGGACAGCTGGAGGAGGAGACCTTGGCTTCCAGCAGCTCTGAGCTCTGTCAGCTGTCCTCGATCAGAGGTGTTGGGTTGGAGCTTTTGTTCCAGCTGACCCCTGGTTGGGTCCAGCCCGGAGCACAGCTCCCAGAGCACTGCAGACAGACAAAACAGCACGGATCGGGGTTAGGGCTGTGTTGGGACCAACCTGTGTGCTCGGCAGCGGGGTGATGTGCTGCGTGGTCTCCAGCAGTCGCTGGAGCAGCCATCCCTGCAGGTTACAGAGGCCTGGACTGGAAAAGAGCTACAGTGAGGGTACAGCTCAGCAGGTTTTGGGCTGCAGGGGGTGCCTGGGGCCTCTTACATAGGCTGCCTGGGAGAGATGGTCTTAGAGCTGCTGGAGGACTGGTGTCACCGTGTAAAGGACCTGTGGGTGGATTGAAATCCAGTCTCTGAGGTCGGTGATCTTCAGCACAAGTC